AAGCTCTGTCTAACTATCTTCATACAAAAATTGACATCATCCGTAACCTTTTACTTTTATGGTTTTGAAATATCACCAGTGTTCCCGTTTATCAGTTAATAATTTAATCGGGCAGAAGTAAAATCTCCATTCGTTCCCAATATGCACCAAAGGTCTAGTTCTCTCAAGGAACACAAGCATAACATTAGTATGTCGCCTCTTTTTGTGGTTTAAAAAACGCTAAACACCTGAGCAAAAATGGCATCTTCATTTCAATCACCTTACTCTCACCTATGGCATAAGTGTGCTATGCTGTAACCTTACTCTTGAATGGGTTTTCGGATGGGATTTGGGTAAATGTGCTGTGAATAAATATGAGCAGAAGAAACACCTACAACTCTATATCGCACCTGATGTCAAGGAAATACACAGTAGCCCCGGTGAAACAGTTAACCATTCGGAGAAGTGGCGACATATTGAAACTTTTTTACACCACTTAGCACCTCTTAGTAGACACTGCTCAGCACGGTTCTTCTCATGCATTTTCCACGAAGGTTTTCGAACTTTTTAGGTATAAATTTTGCTGCTGCTTCAAGATTTCCGTCTTCGTCATGAGCGTCGTTGAACGCCAGACAAGTCGGTATTTCTTGGAATTTTAGGATAAGCGTGCTAAGACGGACGCAAATGCGTTAAAGTGATCTGAATCACCCAGAGAAGTCTGGTAGCTGTTTTCCTTCTCCGAAGAAAAAAGAGGCTAGGTAGACTTAGGGCGTAATCGAGTTTGAGCCTTGTTCATAATGGATGGCATCACCACAACTGCGATTCCCGCCAAATGTTGAAACATACACTTTCTTACCAAGTGTTAAACGTTTTCTGCAGCTTGTCATCCGCTAATTCACACGTGATGGCCTTCCAAATTCATAACCATTTTGTAAATGAAAAAACGTTAAAAGTTTTTTTTTCTGTAAATACAACGCAGAATTCTGAAAATTGCAAGTCGACCTTCATTTAAACTCGGTATGAGTGATCAATGCGCCTTATTTCCCTGATAAGCTAACACGTGGTTGTTACCACATTTTTTTCGGCTAACGTTTCGACGTCTTTATCTTCCTCAGAGCCGATGATCCAAGTGGTCGTTCACAGTAGTTCGTCTTCTCGATATGGTGTCGTAGTCGTTGCATCGAGTCGGATCTTCTTTGATGGAACATCGCTTCAATGAAGTATTCTCACATGGCGGTGCTCTTTCACACAGGATGTCTGTTGTTTATGTGAATATCCGCCGATAAGAATCGGACTTTTAACTGGTAATCCGTCTTTCAGAAGTCAGTATTAGATAAGCTTGCGTGTAGGAAAATAGTATCTTTGTAAATCGACATTAATTTAACCTCGGTATAAATGACCTTATTTTTGGTTGCTCTTCACATTGGACTACGTGCTGCCAAAGGTCACTGGTACGACTTTATTGCTTTTGATACTGCCCGTGCAAATATACTTCTTCAACCTCTTAGTGTATAGGTACTTCTTGGTTTAAAGTAGTGTAATATACCAACTAAATGCTTCTCATCATCCCATTGGTATGCACAAGACATGATGATTATCAGCAAGCACCCAGCAAAGTTGCACAAAAGAAAAATAGTGTTTCGCTTTAATTTTATTACAGGAGGCAATAACAAGCTACCTGTACTTGAAAATCTCCCTTATGATGACTCCTTTGCTAGAAAATCAGGATGGTAGGAGAAAGTCTTTCTAGGATGAATAATTATTCTTCGGGTAGCAACGTGATTGAATCAACCACAAGGTCAACACTTGTCGTCAGAGGCAACCAAGCCAGGAGTGTCGGCCGCATAGATAAAGTCTTCATCTCCAGTCTCATTCGCTAAATTTGTAGTATGCGTATTTCACAAAGAAAACTCGCAGTGAATTAGGGTGTTGTTGGATGATTGTGAACGGCAATAAAGAAAACAAATAACTAAATTTTCAATATATCAAACCTGTATTTTGCTGCTTTTTCTCAAATCGTGTTTGTTTGGAGTGCCAAGGAGTCACCATTCTAACCTGCTATCAATCTACTAGGGCGCGCCTGGTGTACTGGTCGGAGGCGCCTTGCAACACGAATATGGGATCGACCCCGCGCGCGCGACCCACCAAGCCTTCTATCCTTCCGGGGTCGAAAAATTGCTACCAGACTTGTTTGAGAGGATAGTAGTACTGACTGGATACATCAGTAAGCCACCGCGATTCATTGTAAAGGCCAGATATGCATTCAATCACCTCCAAACGATGCTTAATGAAGTTGAGCGCATGTTGTGTGCCTCAGGGATCGTTCAACGCCGAAAGTTTTAGAGGTGTTTAAGCTTGCAACACAGACAACCCAAAAGTTTGTGCTGAAAGAAAAATAAAATTATGCCGGAGCCAAAAATGTTGCAAAATGGTGGTGCCGGGTCATCGAATTGCTCAGAAAGAAAGTGTGAACCACTGTACTGTTATCAGTTATCAGTTATCGAAGGCTTTGCTAGGTAAAACGTCACACTATTGCGTCAAGTGTCTATGATATTACAGAAACTATGGCATGGATTTAAGCTGCTGTTGAACATCATTTCCCTTTAAAAAACATCTGCACTGAGACACCTGTTCATTCATGCAGTGTGTGGTCGAGGAGCGTAATCGTTGAACTTCAAATGCTTCTCCATATTCTGGGAGCGTATTCTCATCGTTTAATTTTATGCACAACTTTAACAACTATCGTCATTCAAGTTGTCGTTGTGATGATTCTCCCGTAGCGTTGAAGAAAGTGGCCAGCCTATGTGAGAATAAAAAGAAATAGGTAGGAAGTGAAAGCTGCCATTTTTTACACTTTTGACAGATGAAGGCGTCATGATTATCGAACCATTAGTGTAACCCAATTTTTAAATACTGTTGTGACTGTGTAGAAATTCCATTCAAGCATTAATATTCACTTAGTTCGACTTATGATTATTCTGTAAATGCTCATATTGTGATCTTATTAGCTACTTGTAAGTACTCCTTTGCAAGAAAGCAAAGGTAGACAGGACACGAAAACGAAGTGCTTTGGAAGTGTGTTGCCCCTTAAGTTCTTCAAGCAAACCGAAAATATTGTAATGCTTCCAAGGTCAACAGAAATGAGTGCGTACTAAATAGCCCACAGAACACTCGCTACATGTCTTCTGAGATTGAAGTCTTGCTGGTGGACGTGAATTAATTAATATAAATAAAATTATCAAGATTAAGCAGAGCAGCAGATGTTGCAAATTTAAATGGAACGATTTGATGAAAAATGCTCAACGCTCCTTGTGATGCAATTCCTACGGCTATCTTAAAGTTTGAACCTCTTAAGGGAACAGTACCCGTACAAGAATAGAAAGCCTCCGACCACCGAGGAAGCACAGGACACTTGTAAATCGCCTATAAAATCTCCCTTTTAAGTGTGAAAAATTAACTTGTAAATGTAAATAAATCCTGGTTTAAGACTCCAGCAGCATTGCTATTACGATAACGATAAAGTATTCTTTTGTTAAGCGTTATTTTCGTGGCAGAACCTTAAAGAGTGTCAAACAATGATTTTTGTTCCCATGCAATGACACTTTATGGTGAATCCAAATCGAAATGGTACATTGTTGTTCATTCCTTCTTCATTCGCCCAGTGTATCCAAGCTTTCAGTTTACAAACACACTGAGTACATATCTGGCCTTTAACAAAAGCTTCCGAATTACTTGCTGCAAATAGAGATGCTCCATTGCTAACGCTGGATTGATGAGCACAAATAGAACGACGTGTCTTGTAGCTGTGCGTCTACATTAGCACTAGACAACTGACACGTTTACCTAGTAATGTGAATAATCCAAAAATGCTCATTCAACCTTCGTAGACCAGTAGGAATGACGTCGTCATTATTCATGCATTCTATCGCACTCCTTGATATATGAAGCACTCTATAAGGAAAAAAATTCATGACTTTTTTCTAAATAAACTTTTGAAACTTCCAAAAAATTAATATTTACTTTTAAAGTAAGAATAAACTTGCTGAAAAGCAGTTTTAATTGAGTAGTGTAATTCTGGCACTTCAAAACAAGTCTCTGAACATGATAATTTTGCGAGCCACTGACGACCCACAGAAATCGTCCACATGTATTCGGAGAGCTGGTATGGGGCTTGCGAAATAACTAGTGGTAAGGGAATGCTCGCAATCAACTACTACTATAGAACTAAAATCATTTTAAACTATGACACTTTACATAAAAATTCGTCATTGCAATGAGAAGTGAATCTACAAAACGCCTAAAGGGGTAGAAATCGAGTAAATTAAGATTAATATAGAGGGTTATCCTTAAATAAGAAACTTAAAAGCAGTTACAAAGTACCGTTAGCACTGGCAAAAAAATATGGATTTGAAGGATATTGTTGTGGATAAGAGGATGGATAGGGATATGGTGAGTAGGCGGCCGGATCCAATGGATAGTAAGACGTGGGATAGATCGGGTATGTGTTGCACACTGCTGGACTGGTCAAAGACACAGAAAGTGGAACAGTCGTAGTGGATGTCCAGCTTTGAACCTAAAATTCAATAGATGCCAATAAACTCTATTGATTGCACCTCTACCCGTCAAAATGTAGACACCAATTTTGTCAGGGAAATCTTTACATATTCAGTTTTCATCCATAGCGCAATTCACAACGTGTGATTACGTGAAATTTCACAGAAAAATTTGACTAACTGTGCTTGAAGTGTCACTACTCCACGAAGAATCTCCAATTCCACTACTAGCAGGTGTCTGAGGACTGTCCGTTTTCTCTTCAGGAGAGGTCGGCTTGTGAGGAGAACTGTAACCAAAATCTATGTTCATTCTGACAATTCGGGTATAAATGTACTTAAAGGTAAAAAAATTGCAAATGAAACGAAACACAGTCATTACACTAACCCTGACTCTGGTTCACTATTTTGAGGAATATAAGCTGCTTCTTCTTTCACTGCTGGTGGAAGCACATTTGCTGTAAGTACTACTCATGGTGTAAACCGATTAAAATCTGTAACCTTATCGGAGGACTTGAAACCTTTAATAAAATGTAAAAGTGCACCTGTTGGATCCTTCTTATCACATTTTGGCTTTTGTTTTTCTTGTTGTCTGTGTTTGGCTCTTCTATTTTTGAACCAAACCTTAACAGAGCACAGTAACTTGTTAAAATTAGTAGGCGTCCGGTGCAAATGCTACCCCAAACCTGAATTCGACTTTCCTGCAGTTGTATCTGCTCTGCAACCTTTTCTCTAGTGAACACATCTGGATACTGGGTTGCTTCAAACAGTGTTTCGAGAACCTCCAGTTGTTGTCGGTTAAATGTTGTTCTTTCACGACGATTTTTTCGAGGAATCATCGCTATAAAAATTAACTAATGAGTAGATAGAAGGCTTTTTTTGCAGCGTTTACTAAGTAATCAAACTGATTTCAAAAAGCGGCAGAAGAGATAGGTGACATCTTAGCTCTCCATGAACTAGTTCTAACACATTCGGCATACGAATTTTGAAACATTGATCGTAAAAGAGATAACCGAGATTGGCACTGGTTTTTAATATCACGCTTTCAGATTAACGTTCACTATAATTGTTTTAACTCTGTATGAGCGAAAAATGTTGGCAGGAAAGGAAATTGTGATACGAGAAGTCATGCCTGCATTGTAACCGCTCGTTGGGAACATTGTCACGGTAGGCACGGTTGTCATGCTGTAGGTGAACGGCTGTGACGGTGTAGTGGAAGATTGACATGGAATATGTGCATAAGCAAATGCAGCCGCTGCACTATTCATATTGTAGGTCATGTCTTAAACGAAACGAACATGAATTCACAATTTGTTTAGATGAAACATAATCGCACATGCAAAGCGAATCGATACCGAAAACTCGATAGAAAACGTTTTGACATGTTCGAAATTGGATATTCACTGCTGGAACATATAGTTTAAGCTACAGATGAGAAAGTTTCTAACCAGAAGGCGACAGAAATATGAAAGGGTTATAAATGTGTAGTCTGTGATATAGTCGATGGATCTGGAGTGTTCCATCAGCAACAGTTATCATTCAACGACAATATTCGTAATTGGCGAAATGAGAAACACATTAGTTCTTAAATAAATACACATTGATGAGTACAGTCAATGTTACCGTAACAATGATATGCTCACTAAGCGGCTTAGTGTCTCACTAGCGCCCTGTAGAATAACACTACTGATATGAGAGCGAGCGACTCCATCTGCTTCCAAATCAAATCAAGTAATCAATCAATGTACGGTAGCCGTGGAGTGTATTTACCTTTTTTAAGAAGGACTTTATGACTGTCAATGTGCGATACGATAAAAATGAAACAGTTTGGAAGGTATTGCCCACTGAAAATATTGTCACCAATGAAGGAGAAACTTTCTAAAAACGAGATTATCAGCTTTGGCAGGCAAAAACTTTCAAATGATGAATCCTTAAAAAACAAGGTTTTACTCAAATATTGTAAAGGATGAAGCACAATGAAGTTAGTAGAAGGAAGGGAACCGCATCGACAACCAATCGCGGCGCTCGCTTACCGTAAATGAATGTGCAATTCGAAGGCAGGCCACACCAATTGTGATTAGTTGATATAAAAGTGTTTTGAAGAACGCTTATTGCTTTTCCATAAACTTTTAGCTTTTGTCTTCCACCCACTGATATATTTTTCTCGTTACTTCATATCAGTGATTGGCTATTTAGCATATTGGCGATGAAAACTATGGACAACATGTTTGACCACTATGAAGAATCGATGCGGCTGTGAGAAGTTCGCTCACGTCTACAGGCTTCTAAACCTACTTGCTTAATGAAAACATGGATTCACTCTTAACATAAAAGCTCTGCATGTTATTGACTTTTCGTGCACTCGTCCACAGATAGGTGCTTCTTGAGAGCAAAAAAAACACAAAATCTATTGCGGTGCAGTGCAAAATAGTATAGGAAGATTATTCCTATTTGATAAACACATTTGGAAACGTTGAAAATTTAGCATCGCTAAGTAATTGGGGTCTAATTATTGGTTTTACACGATGAGGCTGTAAAATTCGACAATTACGAGCGGAAGACGACTGCTCCGACCTCCATATCTTCTAAAGGCCAATGCGGGCGCCAACAAAACGTCAAGTGATTTACCTGATCTTCAATTGAGTTTCGTTCTTTATTTAATCACTTAAATTCCTAATGTAAAGCTTTGCTGTGTCAACAATATTAGAATGTGATCGCTCCGAAACGTGAATAAACTTGAACAAAACAAAAACTTAATCAAAAAATTCGTGAGCGCGAAAGGAAAGCATCAAATTCTAACAATTAACTCACAATTTTGTAAAAATGTGAGATGAGACCAGGTTCCGGCTAGTTCTGTGGACTTTTTGAAAAAGACGCCTAATCGTTCAGCAATTAAGTTTTAAGGAAACAAAGCGTTCTTCCTGGAAGAAATGACTCCGAAAGCGAATGTTTGGGTTGTTGAAGGAGTGCCAGCCAAATAACCTACTTCGTGTTTGGTATATGGAACAAGAAAAACATTCCTGTTCTGATTTTATAAACCGCAATAAGGCGTGCAAAATTCGTTTTTACCAACAGCATTTTGGCAAATGAAATTATTGTGAAATAAAACCAGTGTGCAAACCCAGTGAGTAACGATAAGTAACGCCTCGCCAGTCCTGTTGGTCTCCTCGCTTGGCCCTAACGATATGCGTAACTAGGTGAGATATCCGGGGGCAGCCCACCTCAGCACTTTATCGTTGGTCCTTATCTGTAGGTGAACCACTGTGGTTATGGGAGGCACACAACGCGTTATGAGAACACCAGTGGACAATACTTGTCCCATAATTTGCCAATGGGAGAGACCTGATTTAATCATTTAATTAATGTACGTTGACGTTTTACCAAGAAAAGTTTAACGTTACGGCTGAAAATGATTTGGGTAGCAACTATATTTAATCACCATTTTAGCGAGCTCTCTTTGATAAGGAATCGTAACTTAAATTCCAAAAACTATGAATTTTCGGAGTCAAGGAAAATGTCAAGGCCGGAACGTACAACATAGAAAAATGTCATGGGTATATTCGGTATATTCGTTATATAAAAAAATTGAATGAAACTATGGCGAATGAATGACGACATCAATTGAGTTTGAGAAGGCCAGGAAAATATGTGAAATTCTAAAAAAAACTTGTGGATTCAAAGCATATTTTGTGTTAACGGAAGTGTTTGGTTCGTTTCCTCAAGCGACAAGCTCGTCCCATATTCAAACTTCTTCGCCTTCTGATTTGAGAAGGCATTAATTGTTGTTGTATTTAGAGAAGATAAGAAAGAAAATGAATGCTGTTTTCCTAGCAAGATTGATGACAGCTAGATTCAGTTTCTTCCAATGTAGGCGAAGAATTCTAGCAAAACGTTAACAATTCCCAAAGGATTAGAAACATTGGTATTTGTTAAAGTATTTTTGGGTGATAACAAACATCAACTGAATTGAGTTGCGAGAAGAGCAAGTAACTCAAGTAGAGATTGCAACATACCTTTGGAACTAAGGGGTTTTTGCAAAAACAGTGATGCTGAAGTATGAGCCGAACTCGGAACCCAGGCGAGCTTCGAACCCGTGGGGTTTCTGTAGCGATGAGATTGATGATTCTCAACAGAGTTGATGTAGAGAAGAGTGAACTACCCTTCGCTCATGAAATTCTATCAACTTATGCAAAATAACCGGTGCGATGCCACGCACGAGAATATCATTGTGCAGTAGCAGCGAAAACCGAAACAGATATTGTCAATTGGATGTAACTGGTTATTACTATTGTGTCGGACGTAGTTTCATTAAGGCGTATGAAATGTGAGATAGCATGTCGTAGCTAGCGATGAGGTATTTCAGTATAACCAGCTATAGCTCCTTTAATGTGAAACGAAAATAGAGTCGAGTGGAGGTTGTTTATGGTGGGTGATAATAACAGGAAATGAGCATTAAGGGACGGGATTAGTTGAACACATCCACGAATTGACTACACACTGATTCCTATATGGTGAAATAGTTAATGAAAATGTTGGACTAAGTACAGGCCCGAGGCAGAAATCGTATTACACTGAGCAATGGTAGAGAGAAGCGAGCTGCAGCTAACGTATTATGTTGCAAAGAAGTACCGACAAGAAATCGTATCAATTCTACATATGTCTCAGGTACAGCTTCTTTAGCCGCAGAAAAAATAATCTTCGAAGGGAGAGACCATTGAGCACTTTTTGCTACCGTGTCTTTTAATAATCGGTATGAACTTAAAAGTTTGCCGTCTTGATCGACAATCGTCATTTGAGCATTTTTTTTAAAGCGGTTAAGACCCTTGGGAAGCTATGGGAGGAGCAGTAGTAATGCGATAAGAAAGGCAACACACAGTGAATCGAAATGATTTCTCAACAAATTGGCAAACGCTGCTATACTTTCAAAGTATTCGGTTTTAAGGGTTAAATAGCAAAATGCAGTGAAAATTGAATAGGTTACAAGTAGTCTTGAAATTGCTGTCGTACAATGAATTCTTAATGAGACGTCATCAGAACGCCTGGTTGTAGATCCAAGGAAGGATTTAGTTTATGCTTTTAATAGTCAGCTAACATTAGGTCAATTAGCGCTATAATGTATTTCTTCACTAATGGTCTTCATTGTTTTAAAATTTTAACATCATTCAACCTTCGATCAGATCTTGTGGCCGAACCATCATTCTTTCAATACACTATCGAAGTTTGGCCACATTCTTCAGACATGCTTACTTTTTTAAGCTCCCTTACAATACCGTAAAAGGCTTTACGTGATATATCGCTCATAGTTGTACGCTGCCGAAATTGGCATTTGATTCGATTGTGGAAATATGGCGTACAAAGTGCAGTTGAAATATACTAACGTTTACTGTGCTTCTGTGCCACAATGTAGTTATCAACAAACCTGCAGTGTTATCAACTCGACGATAAATCAATCTAACACTGTCGGAGCATCAGCAAAATGGACAGCCGCAATACTAGGTCTTACTACTCAAAAGGCAAAAAAATGCTCAATTTCTGTCCTTTAAACAACCTTCACCACGGAATTACCTGGAATAATTCTAGTGTTCATAGTCGGTCATCCTCTCATTTTTCATGCTAAATTACAATCAATACTAGCATGTAAATTGTTTTTTCTGTTTCCGACACAGGTAAGAACCTATGGATGTCAAAGCATAGATCGTAAGTGCTTTTGTCAACTCGCAAATCTCAACGATGCATTGAAGTTCAGTGATAAAATCATGGGAAAGTGTCGACTTATAAACACCGGGCTGCTCTTATCTCTTATAACACGTGGTTTACATTGACATATGTTTAATTATGAGCCATTTATTTTATAAGTGGTTGATTTGTCTTGAATCACTATGACATGACTGTGTTCCTTCAAAAGAATTCGAATGAGCAGAAGGGTAATTACATAAACAAACACATTTGGTTAATTTATAGGACAAAAACAAACGAAAATTTCTACACATAAATTATTATTATTAATTCACTTCTCACAATCACTCATTACACCTAATCATTAACACTACACCATACGCTGATAGCGCAGTGTTACTAATGCCCTTCATAACGTTGATGGGCCAAGCGACGCAGGAGCTGGCTCGAACTGATTCAGCGCGACACCAAGCCTTTCATCGCCCGAGGCCTAGAAATTGGTACTTGTCTGGGAGCAGCTAAGTACCCGCATTCCAGTTAAGAACATCCTAGCTCGGCTATTCCAGGGTTTCAGGGAGAATCGACCCTTCTGGCACCTAACGACATTCATGACAAACACAAGATTCCTCGAGCAGCATCCGAGCAACACAAAATCTAGGAAGCCCTTCGTGGATGGTCTATAAGTTGAAATAAATTCGATACAAAAGTTCCGAAAATCTTGTGGTATGA